AAAAACCACCCAAGTTACGCCCACTCCTTGGTATTTCACGTCTACAGGCTTCGTTGACAACTGTTTACTCAGAGTCAGAACTGCAAATAGGCTTCTGCATAGGCCTGGGCTATCTATGGGTACCCGCAAATAGTATCATGAGGGCCAGGCTAGGATATTGATTTCTGGGCCCTAGGGTAGGGTAAGGGCTTAAAAATAAAACCCTTACATAAACAGGTAGAGCTAGTGTATTACTATAGGTACCCGGTAGTTGTTTATCGAATATCTATTAAATATATGAGTAGAGAAAATAACACTTGAGCTTTTTATAATTTACGAAGTTATATTTTTTCTTGGCATTACTTATTAATATTGTCTTTGAATACTTTTATAGAAAACCTTATAAACGTTGACAAAATTTAAATTAAAAATTTATTTTTGCCTTCTAGTAATTAAAGATTTAACTTTTGACTAACGATCACTTTTATATTTTAGATTGCTATACTGATAATCTCTATATGGCATATTATAATACAGTATATCTTTTATTTGTATAATTAGAATTGTTTTTCTTAAAATCTTTATTGACCTGCATATTTTAAAACTAGGATCCACATGAAGTTAAAATTATAAGCAAAAAAAAATTCTTTCTAGATATTTAAAGTAGGGTTAATTCATGTATTCTTGTATTGTTTTTTATATTATATTTTATTTTTACTTTTAACAGAAATTTTTAATTTTATAAAAAATAGCAAAACAAACAAATTCTGATCCTGCACAATGTTCTAATACAACTTTTTTAATCTAAAAAACTATGGTATACTCAAAAATTGTATACCTTATTTATTGATTTATTGTAGCTTGAAGATAAGTATACAAAAGTCTGTTATTTTAATTAAAATTAAAATATTTGATTTTGTTATAACTCATTATACAAAAAAGCACTATGTACTAACTTTTAGTTAATTAAAACGAACTAATTTATTTATTATCTAGTTTATGTAAGTTAGGATTGTCTTGTGTAATACTATGACTCTTCCATAAATAAGATATTAAGTTTAAAGTTGACCCACCTACAATTTTTAATCATGTATTACAATTTTTATCCAAATCATTTAATACAAGACAAGTACAATATGTAGCTTTAACATTAATATGATTAGATCTTTTTTTTATAACTTCAGTCACTTTCTCTAATTCAAAATATTTCCACACCCAGCTTTGTTTTTTTGATCTATCTTTACGGTCTGAGATATCAGTTTCGTTTTCTTCACTTGCATCCTGGCTTTCTAGTATAAGACTGTCAGATTGGTCAATAACTAGTTCATCAGATGATTGGATTGATAGAGAGTGTAAATCACCTTCTTTTATAATTTAAGTATAAAGCCTGGGTTTGGACTTCTTGTTAAAAAAAATAAGGTGCAAGATCAAATATATGTATTGATAATATTTATTGTATTAAAGTTTAATAAAAATTTATAACATATAATATAATTAGGTTAATCGACTACTATCAAAATATAGTACAAGTAAAAAAACCGCTATTCTCACACAACAAAAGACTTTATATTTTTTTTACATAATTATAATTGTTGATATATGTATCATTTTACTTGTTACTAATATTTTTTTTCTATTCTATATGAACTAGGAAAATGATAAAATTGTTATACAACAGTAAACCCTCTATAAGTGCATGCTCTTGGGACCAAACTTTAACAATATGTACTTAGAAAACAATAAAAAATTCATTATCTATATAGTTGGGCCCGAATTTGATCGTGTATTTAGAGAGAGTATATACTGTATTTTATATTAAACTATTCTATTTTCTATAATATGCAGGGTTTGTTGATTTTTAACTCAGCCTTATTTTTATGGGAACAGCGCATTAGGGTTGCATCAATAACATGTAGGACAACATCAATTCAAATATTCTGAGAAGTTTACTATATAGAACTAGATTGGTGTTCTCTCGCCATCTTAGAGATTGTTCAGAGTAGAAATTTCTACCCAAAATATGTATAATAATATTCAAGTTGGCAACTTTCTCAATGGATCCAATTTTAAGTATCATTGATATATTCTGAGCGTACAACTACTATAATATAAAGGCTGTAGTTAGAATTATAAAGACCTCTGTTCAAAGAATTTATAACAATAAAATATGTTAATACTTATTGTTGTATATTTATAAGTAAATCTGGCTTCAAATACATATAGTTGAATTCTTTGACAATAGGATAAATATCTAATTAAAAACTACAATTTGTGATTCATTTGAACTGAATCTGTATAATATGATTTTAATAAAAAATCTTTAATATTTTAAAATACAGTATAATATTGAATAGATCAGAAATGCTAATATTTTTAATATTTGCATTGTATTTTACAATAACTTGAATTTCAATATATTTTTATCACCTTGATGTGAAGTATAGTATATTCGTTCTTTTCTGGTGCATTACACTATTGATTGTATCATTTTATAGTTTATCAAATAT